GGTACATCCTGTGAGCATCCTGCATGCATGCCCACTTACTCACACATAGCTGCCTGCAGAGCATGTCTGCCCCACTTTGGCTCAATCAAAAGGTCTCTGCACACAAGAAACCAACTCCACTTCTCAACCCAAAGTCAAAAAGGGGAAGTGTTCTAGGAAAGGGAAGGAAGGACTGTATTCCACAAACCTCTCTGTACAATTCGATTATCCCAGCCCCCCCAACACTGCCCTCATTTCCTTTCCAGTCACAAGTGCCATTGTGACACCAATCACTGCCCATCTTTCTTGTTTGTATGCTTCAAGTCTAGCAAGTGGCTGAGGATACTGTTCCTTTTATACTTTGGAACAGCTCAGGGATTCCTTGTTTAGATTTCATAATAGCTGAATAGCAATAGGTCATTTTGTTTATTTGTTCTTTTAATTACCCATAAGTAGTTGTTCAAAGAGGATTCAATTCAACAGTCAGTTTATAAGTACAATGCAGCTTAATCAATGTCACTCCTTTCTTCATAAAGTGGAGCTGTCACTCAAGTGGTGTAGTGCCATCCTTGAGCAAAAATGCTGAGGAACAGTACCCAGGCAGAGTTTAAGCCCTAGTACCAACACGTGCATGCGTGCACACACAGACACACATTTTGGGTGACACCTTTCTGTATTTAGAGACTACCAAGCCAAACCACAAAGGGACTGGGTGGGGATCAATGTCAAGGACCAAGGCCGTCATCTCTTCAGCCTCTAAGTCTCTTTCCTACTTGAACTACAGGAGTTCTAGGATGCCTAAGCAGTTCGATAACAAAAGAGGGCTTTGTTTACATGGGATGTGATGAGACACTGACCTGGAATAGCAAGTAGGCAGCGGGACCCTAGCCTGTGCCTGGCAAGTTTAATTTTTTGGATGCAGCAGAGGTGTTTGCAGTCAAAAGTAATTAATCTCTTCTTGAAGTGACAGGTGGTTGGAATGGTTTCTTTTACATTCAGCAAACACACACAAGGTCCAGAGAAAGAAGGCTTCATGTATAGAAGGAATCAGTCATGTGCAACAGTTGGGGCCTAATTCCTTAGAACTCAAACAGGAATTAGGAGAAGAGACTCGGCTTTTGCAGTCTCTTCGAAGGGTTCCAGGAAACATGTTTTAAAACATGTCTTAAAATATGCCTTAAAAATCACAAGAAAAGTGACTTTTCTTGTCAAATTCCTCCCTGGTAGAAAAGTCAAAATACACTCATTTCAAACATTTCATTATCATGTTAGTGGGCAGCAGGCATGGACTGATCCAGGGTTCATGTTATATAGCCCTCAGCCTTCTTCCTCTTTCTCTACTTCAGTTTTACTCTCTCTGGGTTGGCCACTTTTTACCTATCTTTATTTTGTTCTCTGTGGGTTGGCCTCTTTCTCACTTAAGCTCTTCCCTAATGGTTGAAAAAAAATCACTAGAAGATTCAGGAGCCATAAATGTACAGATTCAAATTCAGTTGAGACAGAGACATACAGAGAAAAGTCTTGGGGCTCTCTGATTGAATGAGCTTCAATCAGAAGCCAGCCATGAACCAATCATGATATCTAGGATCTGCTTGAGCTGCAATTGCATGTCCCACCCTGGCCAGAGAGGGGAACAACCATAAACAAAAGTGGAGTGGTTGCCAAGAGACCAGGAATAGGGCATGTGGATGCCAAAGAAGGAAACAACCATCCATTTAGAATCACTAATATATAAAGAGCTCCGGTTGTGTGCAGGAAATTTTCCATTGTGTACATCATTTCTCCTCTGAACCCCTAGCTAGCTCTATTTTATAGATAACACAACCAAAGGACAATGCAACTGGAGGACTTTCCCCATGACAATCAATTTGTGAGTGGCAAAGGCATGATTTGTTTTACATGATTTTAAAAATTACCTTTTAAGTAGTCATACAAAGTAGTCTCAATTAAACATGTCAGTTTATGAGTACAATGCATCTTAATCAATGTCACCTTCTCCTCATCTCTCCCAACACTATTTATCCACTCAAGTTATCCATTTTCACATATGTACATTGAATATTATGAGTGCATTTGCCCACCCTTCCTCTCTCCATCTGTCTACCATTCCCCACCCCCTCTGGAAAACACGTGTTTCCATTTCTTCTTACTCATTGTGTTAAACTGTAAATGCATTATTCAAAGGAGTGACACTGTTGGAATATTCCCTGTTATAGCATACTTTAGTCAATATGTTTGTGATGTTTGCATGTGACCCTGTGTATGTGTTCATATATGTTTATAATTTAGAACTAACCTCCACCTATGAAAGAAAACATTTACCCTTGGTCTCTCCGAAATTGACTTACTTCACTTAAAATATATTCCCCCCCCCAAAGGAACCCTATTGCACTGTCAGTGGGAATGTAAACTAGTACAACCACTCTGGATGGTAAACTGGGGATTCCTTGACAAACTAAACATAGAATTCTCTATACCACCCTTGCACATCTACACAGAACATGACAAGTCATGCACGGCCATGCACACTGCTGCACTATTTACAACAGCCAAGTTATGGAAACAGCCAAGATGCCTGACAATAGATGAGTGGGTCAAAAAAAAAAGTGGTACATACATACAATGGAATTTTGTTCATCCATTAGAAATAATAATATTATGTCATTTGCAGGGAAATGGATGGACCTAGAACAAATCATGTTAAGTGTGGTAAGTCAAGCTCAGAAAGATAAACAGAGCCTGTCTTCTCTCATATGTGAAATCTAGATCTAAATTACGACTGGACATGATAACTTATACAGGACTCTAGGCATTCACAACTAACTGTCAGACTAAAGAGGAAACTCTTAGGGAGGAACCCAAAGGTGTAACTCCTCTGAACATTTAAAACGTTATTTATCAAAACAAATTTCAGGAAATGGAAACAGAGTTGGTTTTTTTTTGTCGGAAGTGGTAGTGATGGTATTAATGTTTGGGTTTGCTTTTGAGGGCGTTTTGTCTGGGGCAGGGAGAGGGCCAAAAAGGGAGTCTAAAAATGGAGGGAGGCAGGGTGAACAATGCAGTCATGGAATTCAATATACACTATGCAACCTGTGAGCAAGGAGGGAGGGGCAAACTAGGGGAAAGTGAAGGAAAGGGTGACATTGACTAGAAAGAACTGTATTCATAACCTGACTTATGAAATGGTAACCTCTCCATATAACACCTGAATAACAATAAAATCATATTTTTAAAAGAAAAATAAATTTTTCCAGGTCTATACATTTCCATGCAAATGACAATAGTATTCTTCGGGATGAGTAAACATCCATTATGTATTTTCTTGATCCATTTGTCTGTTGTAGCACCTGGGCTGTTTCATCACTTGGCTATTGTGAATAGTGAATGAACACGGATGTGCAAGTATCTATACTGCATCCTGACTTGTAATCTTTTTGGATAAATTACCAAAAGTGGTTATCACTGGATAATAGAGTAGTTCTAGTTTAGAAATTTGAGGAAATCTCCAAATGAAAATGGCAGGATTTAAAGCCAATGTTATGCTCTGCTTATACCATCACAGCCTGTCCTAGGCATTTTGAGCTATGTCATGCAGATCATCTGAGATACCTGAAGTCAAGGATCTTCCCAGTGATTGGCCCCAGCAAGCACCTTTGCTCTGTGCTGCAGTTACCTGATAACGAGTTTCCGTTCATTTGCATAGTGAGTTTAGTCAGGGTTTTCTGTCACTCAAACGGAGAAGAACCTTAAGAGATACAATGATCACTTTTGGAATGTGAACGTGAACTTGCAGAAAGTCAAATTGTGTAGCCACCATCCGTCTTTGTTCAGCTCCACACCACCAGCTGTGGACAGACACATCAGTGAGTTCACATCCATCTGCGGAAATAATCGCTTCTTTTCCAAGTGAATTTTTTCCACACCATCACAGCCCGGATTTGCGGTGGCTCTCATACCTACTCCAGTGCTAAGTCAGGAAGCATCTTATCTTATCTGGACCAGACACAGCTCCTTCAGGGAGCTATCAGGCATTGCCAGATAAAATACCTGCTAGGAAGGACACCCTCAGCTAGAAGCTACCAATGCATCTATGGTTATGGTGAGCGACTGGAGGTTCCCTCTGAGGGAAGGAAAATCTGCCAGGTGAGTGGGCAAGATGAACCACAACCGACCCGTCTCCTTTCAGTATCCAAAGCATACATCATCAAAGCCAAGGCAAGCAATGTAAGCTCTGGATCCTGAGTCCAGCAGTTTCATCTGCAGCTAAAACCCAAGCAAAGTCTTTCCTAGGACAGCACTTGGTTGCCTATCCTGGTTGCCTGAGAGGACCCAACCTTGTGCCCATGTGGTTCCTCTCCACTGTGATCACCTACCACCACTGCCCTTCCCACGTGCAAAGGAAAAGGTCACTTCCTGCACACACCCGTGTGATGGGGTGTATGCCTACCTGAGACTGCTTGGCCATCTTCTTCTACCACTTTGTGGTTAATACCTTTAGGAAAACTACCCATATCAGCAGTACCCCCCCACCCCCGCTTCTCTCTCATCTAGTTAGTGAGTCTCTGAAAGAGGGCTTTTCTTAACCTGAACTGTCCATTTGACTCACCTGTGAGTTTTGTCCATGAGATGTTCTCACTGACTCCCCAATCTCACCTCTGATGGGATACTACGGACTTTGTTCCTGTGACCCACAAGAAGGGTTCAGTTCAAATGAGACCAGGTAGGGCTCACAAGCATCCTGCACCTCGCTTGGTTTGCAGCCATAAGCAAACAGTGGAAAATGTGCAAAAATGATGTGTGAAATTAATCTGTTAAATTATAGGAAAGGAAAACAGATGCCATCCTTAACCATTCACCAAGGGGGTAACTCTAAATGTGATGTGTGACTAGGAACTTCCCAACTAGGTAAGCCCTGAAAAGCAATTTTGTGACTGCAAGAGTAATTGTTGGTTTTTGTTTGTTTGTTTGTATCGGAGTTTGCCCACTACATACTTGTATCTGATGTTTTGCTGTTGGAATACTAAAACTCTGCCAGTATGATCTTCCCCAGTTCTCGAAGGACTACTCATTTAAAATTTAAAAAGCTTTAAATTTTTTATCAAGGCTTGGTTTACTTGTCATAAGAAGAAATGCATTTTATATCATAGCTTATAACTGGCAATTTAGAACTGCTTTTGGTGAAACATATTAACTCCTCCTCATGCAAGCCTTCCTATGTCCAAAAAGGGACTACAAGGACAAAACCCCACATTCTTCCTCTATTTAAACCTAAAGCTCATGTCTGTATTGCAAAGATAGCCTGAAATGGTTGCTTTTTTTCTTTCCATGGCATGTCCATGTTACATTTATAAATTTCCTTTCTCTGCCCTTCACCCCTACTGGTGGGTGATAGCTGACCTGACATGTAGGACCCTGGGGTGGATCCCCTGGCCTGAAACCCCTGTTTGGCAAGCTCAGAGCACTCATCCACATGTATGGAATAACGCATACCTTTGTTATATAGGAGAGGGTCTAATATTTTTGATGCTACATTTTCTTTATGCTAATTATGACTCTCAAAGAGTTTATGAAACTGGGACAAAGTAACTTGAGATCTTAGTTTATATCTGTCTAGCTGTGTTTCTGATACAGAAGTTTTTGTTGTTCTTGCTAGAGATGGGCAGAGCCTACATAGTCCTTCTGGTTCAGCAGTGGGCAGAGAACACAGGGTTACAATCCTACAGCAAGTAATGCCTGTTTAGTGTTGCAGCTTAGGATAGACAATATCTGCCAGGGTTGCAACTCTACGGCTGAGCATCCTTGGGTTCTTTTCTTTTTAATTTTTTTTATTTTCTTGTAAAAATGCTGTACAGAGGGGTTACAGTTACATCAGTAAGGTAATGAGTTTATTTCTTGTCAAGCATTGTTACCCCCTCCTTTGTTTTTCTCCTACTATCTCTTCCCTCCCCACTTCTCTGCCTCCTCCCAGCCCCAAAGTTGTAAAGTTCATTTTCAACACAGTATCTTTTGAGTATCATTGTGGCAATTGGTCATCCTGTGTCCTTGTGTCAGCATTTTGTTATTTCCCTTCCCCTCCCCAAATTGCATAAATGTCTATACAGGACACAAGATACCAAAATCAAATACAGTGACAACAGGGATATGCCATAGGAGAAGAACATGCAAAAGAAACAACTTAGGAGCTTTTTTTAGACAGATCATACAAAGATACTTTTTCCTAAGGAAGGCAATTAATACATTATAAATGCAATCCAAGGGAAAAGAATAGTGGACACAAACTCCTAAGTTGTGGTTAAGATGTTGTATTTGTTGTTGTGATACTGTTAAATAGATATCAGACCAAACTACTTGACAGCTAAAGCAGATTGTTTTAAGTAGGGAGAAAAAGTCCCAAATCAGAGTGTTTGTGTTTGCTTAAAGATGACATTCATAACACAATATGCTTTAGGACTGGCCTGTTTCTTGATTGTATACCAGGAAAACAATTAGATTTAAATCTGTGATGTTCTTTCTCTTGGTGGTCATGAAAATTGTCCTGTGCTCTTTGTTTCAAAGTAAAAAAAAAAAAGAAAAAAATGAATAGTACATTAAAAACAACAAAAACAAAGAAAAACTGCTTGTGTCCATATCTTGAGGTTCATTTCACTTAGCATCATCTTATATGGCCATATGTACATAGCTTTTCAGCTTTTCTGCTCATCTGGTAAGATTATCCTAGACATATACTAATTATTGCAAATAATGGAAACCAGGGGACCTATATTTCTTTGGATCTGGCTTACTTCACTTAATGTAATTTTTTCCAAGTCTTTCCATTTCCTAACAAATAGGGTGGTGTCATTCTTTCTGATGGAAGCCTAGAATTCCATTGTGTGTGTGTGTGTGTGTGTGTGTGTGTGTGTGTATCACATTTTCTTGACCCATTCATCTACTGAGGGGCATCTGGATTGGTTCTATACCTTAACTATGGTGAATAATGCTGTGTTAAACATAGTTGTGCTGGTAACTTTAGTATGGCCTTGTTTGTGATCATTGAGGTAAATGCCCAGAAGTGGGATTGTTGAGTCATTGGTGAGCTCTAGGTATAGTCTTTTGGGGAACCTCCATACTGCTTTCCAGAGTGTTTGAACAAGTTTACATTCCCACAAACAGTGTAGTAGGGTTCCCTTTTGGCCACATCCCTCCAGTATCTGTTGTTATTAGATTTCTTGATTATAGCCATTCTAACTGGGGTGAGGTGGAATCTCAATGTGTTTTGATTTGCATTTCTTTTTTGGCCAAAGAAGTTGAGCATTTCTTCATGTGTCTCTCGGCCAATCTTATTTCCTCTTCAGAGAAGTCTCTCTTTAAGTCTTTAGCCCACTTGTTAATGGGGCAGTTGTTTCTTTGAGGATTTATTTTTGGGGGTTTTAATTTTTTGAATTTTAAGTATATTTAAATATGTCTGTCGTATAGCTAGTGAAGATCTTCTCCCAATCTGTGGGCTTTCTATTGATCTTGCTAGCTATGTCCTTTGCCACACAGAAAGCTCTGCAGTTTCATGCAATCTCATTTGTCCAACCTTTCTTGGCCTGTGCCAAGGATCCCTAAAGTTTCTCCTATTCTGTCCTGTAATGTTTTCAGGGTGCCTGCTTTTACTTTGAGGTCTTTGATCCATTTGGAGTTGATTCTGGTGCAGGATGATATATAAGGATCTAACTTTAGTATTCAACAGATGTTTAACCAATTTTGCCAGCACCATTTACTGAAGAGGCTGTCTTTCTTTCATTCTATTTTTTTGGCTCCTTTATGGAAAATTGGTGGCTATAGGTCTGAAGGTTCATTTCTGGGTCTTCACTTCTATTCCATTGGTCCTCAGGTCTGTTCTTGTGACAGTACCAAGCTGTTTTGATCACTAGGGTTCTTTTCTTTTTTCTTCTTTTGTGCTAGTAGTGGAGCTTGAACTCAGGGCCTGGGTGTTGTCCCTGAACTTTTTTGCTCCAGGCTAGCACTCTACCACTTGAGCCACAGCTCCACTCCTGGCTTTTTGGAAGTTAATTGGAGATGAGAGTCTCATGGACTTTTCATCCCAGGCTGACTTTGAACCATGATCCTCAGACCTCAGCCTCTGAGAAGCTAGGATTATAAGAGAGAGCCATGGGCACGCACTGGGCTCTCCTTTGGTTCTTGTCTCAGGAATCCCATAAATGAAGTAGGGACTTCAGAGGGTGAATGTGAAGAACTTAATTCAGAAGAGAAGTACCTGTCTCTGCTTTCACCTTTTATCCATCTTCTTTATTTCATTTTTACTTTATTTATTTATTGTTATTATAAAAGTGTTGTGCAGAGGGATTAGTTACATAAGTCGGATAATGAGTTCATTTCTTTTTAAACAGTGTCACACTTTCCCTTGCTTCTTCCCATTTTTCTCTCCCATCCCCACCCACAAGTTGTACAGTTCATTTTCAACATAGTGTCTAGTGAGTACCACTGCTGCCTTTGTTCACCCTTTGTCCTACTATTTCAGTGCCCCCTTACCCTCCTAAACACAGACGAATGCACAATCAAGACAAAAGAAATGAAAACAAAAACAGCAACAAAAATCTTCAAACCCTCTTGTTTCTTCTTAGAGTTCATTTTAATAAATATCATTTTGTATGCTAAGCACCTTTGTGATCTTGTAAAAATATCCTTCTTTGGTCTCACCCTGTATGAAGGCCTAGAGACTTATATAATTTATCATGTCCCTGTGTACCATGTGTTTTTTTTAAACCATCCATACCATCCATTGTGTTTACTTGTAGATTTTTAGGCACATTCTAGTTACTACAAATGAGGGAAACCATACAACCTATGGTTTTTTGGGTCTGGCTTACTTCCTTAATATAATTTTTCCAAGTCTTTCCATTTCCTTATGAATGTTAGGATATCATTATGAATGGTAGGATATCATTCTTTCTGATGGAAGCATAGAATTCTATTATGTACATATACCACATTTTCTTGATCCATTCTTCCAGTGAGGGGCATCCAGGTTGATTCCATATCTTGTCTATGGTAAACAATGCTGCAAAGAACATGGCTGTGCTGGTAACTTTAGCATGACCCTGTTTCTGGTCTATTGGATAAATGTCCAGGAATGGAATTTCTGGGTCATAAGGAAGCTCTATGTTCAGTTTTTTGAGGAACCTCCATACTGGTTCCTATAGTGGTTGAACAAGCTTACATTCCTACCAACAGTGTAATAGTGTTCCCTTTTGGCCACATCCTGACTCATTCATCTCTTGTCTTCTGTGTCTCTGTCTCTGTGTTTCTGCCCCAATCACTCTGTGTAGGCATTCCTGTTCCCTCTAATTGGTTGCTCCCCTTATAGTTAAGCGCTTAGGAAGGTAACACTTTGTTGGTCAGGTCTTACAACATGTGATTATCTATTAATTCCCAATCAGGCTTCTTGTGCAAATTCCCCTGCTCACAGGAAAGTTACCCAGACTAGAAGGTCGTAGGGAGGGGAAGAGCAAGATGCTCTGAAACAATGTCTCCTTTGCATCTGTTTTTGGCTGGCTAGGCCAGGATGCTGTCCAAGGCCCCTTGGTCCTAACTAATTTATGCTTTCATTTCTTCTTCCATCTGTTTCAGGTTCATTATCCAGACCTTTTTTTTTCCAACTGCTTGCCTTAGGATTTTTTTTATTTTTTATTTTTTGCAGGACAGAATGCGGAAACTGCATGAATCCATGAAGCTTTTGTAGGCTTGTGAAACCTAAACGCTTTGATGAAAATATTCTTGCCATCCTCTAAGAGGAAAAGCAAACTGGCATTGGAGAATGACAAGAGATTAGAGACTAATGTCCACTAGATTGGAAATAGAAAAACCATTTGGGATCTTGGGTGTATTGGATATGTACCTCCTCTCCCCGCTCCTACTCCTTGAACCACATACACCTGTTTGTAACACCAGACTTGAAAACTTCCGAGCCATGGTAAGAAGGGACCAGAAAGGGATCAGAAGCCTGCTGGGCTTCCAGGGGCCACACGGGAAATGAGGATATCTATAATTCCCGTCATGACTTAAAAATTTAAAAAAACACCTAGCCTTGTCTCCCAGGTGCCCCACAGACACCAGAAGAGCCCCCGAGGTCCAGAAAAGAAGAGGGAGGGAGAGGAGTCCATCAATGACTGAAGCAGTTCTTCCTCCCTCTTGGTGAGATGGGCTCAATTTCAAAATAAAACTAAGAAGTGTAATAGTTTTTACTCCTACTTTTTAAAATAAGATTCATACCCAATTTACCTATTTCTTTCACTTTTCCCTACTCCAGATCCTTTCTCCTCACACTGGAGGTGTGCCTCAGTAGTATTGTACCAGCCTAACAAGTACAAATCCCTGAGTTCAAACCCCCAGTACCACCATATATATATATATATATATGCATATATATGCATATATATATACACATATACATATACGTTCATATGCATATGTGTGTGTTAGTTTTGTTTTGAGCTTTCTTTAAGCCTCTATTGTAAGACATATATGTTTACCCCAGATGTTTGTTTAAAGCCCTGTATGTTTTTCCTGCAAATAAGCCAGGAGCTAGCTCTTTGGACCTTTGAACAGCAGTGGTACAAGCTTCCTTTATGGCTTGAAGCCTATAGCCAGAAATTATTAGCAAACAGCCCTTCTCTGACTACTGGGCACTTTACTCTGAGAACACTGCAGCTACAAAAACCATTACAACTGAAGCCATAGTGCCTGGCCCAGGCAGTTATACCCCTGTCACAGCTGCCCCAGATAACCCCTGAGGGCAACACGGGCCTCAGGGAACTTTCCATAAGCCTGCAGCTAGTCAGACTCAGGATGGTGGACAGCACTTCCTCCATAACCCAACGAAAGACCAGTGATCAGCAGAAGGAGTCACTGCAAGCACAGAGCCAGCTTTCACAAAAGCCGAGGGTAAGATAAAACCCTCAACACCCTGTAAACTTTACAGTGTAGAGAGGAAACTGTTTATCTCTGCAGTGCCCATGGAAACTCAACTAGGTCAAAGGAACATGGCCCACAATCTGACCTCCCTGAGCATTGGAGAGAGAGCAGAGGATCTGCTCTGTTAGATGGAAAGGTGACACCCACCTGCAAAGGCCTCTTCTCAAGCAGAAACCCCTGAGGACCCAGGAAGCCAGAGCCACCAGGCAGGCTGCAGGCTGAGTGTGTGTGTGTGTGTGTGTGTGTGTGTGTGTGTGTGTGTGTGTGTGTGTGTGCGTGCGTGCACACACATGCACGCACATGCTCCCACACCTGGTATGGGGAGGAAGGGATAGGAGCACAACATACCCTGGCCAAGCCTTCTCTACAAAGATCACAGAACAGAATCAGCACTTCTACCTAAT